TGAGGGAATATATACTCAATATTTCGTATTTTAAATTTGCTCTTGAAGAAGTAACACAATTGAAATTTTCTCCTGAAGCAGGAAAATATTATGAAACTGTGTCTTTCTGTGCTTAAACAAAATAATAAGCTATTCAAAGTTATTTTTGAAGCACATTTTCATTACTTGGAGTGAGTGAAGAAATACCACAACTTACCTCTTGAAGAGGTAGAATAATAAAGGATATAAATCTTGTTTTTGTGGCATAAAGATCATTGTCACACGTACCTGTTGTACGTAAAATATCTTGGAATATTTATTAAATATCATTCCAAGGCAAAAGCATTCTTGTAGAATGTTTTCTACTACAACCACATTAATATGTTATGGTTAGTTATCGAGTTCCCGAAGGAAATAACAACTCGTGTATCTTTCCATGAAGGATATAATGACTATGTTGTTACCGCTTTGATATAAAATATTCAGATGTTAATGGCATTTCTCCCTGAAGGAGACATTTGTCACAAAGTTGGTGGATACCAGAAGTGTCTGAGCAATATTTGATAGTACAAAATGTATCAACAACTCCTGAAGAGCTAACTGTTTGTCTAGAATACACATGACACCAGTAGTGTCCGATAAATATTAGACTGTGGATAATAAATGAAGTCTCTCGAAGAGCTTATATACAAATATTTCATTCATATTATATGACTATGGTCAAAACATATGTTGTAGTAAACCTGAAGTTTACTAATACAAATGACAATCATACTGAGACTAAAAATGATTGGAAGATTGAAAATCTTCATGTTTCCACAATCATAGGGGGTAAAATAATATGTATGCGAGAAGTTACCCACCTTATTCTTCAATTTTGTATTATATCATGTATCATAGTAAACCAGAAGTTTACTAATACAAAAGTAGCCACAGTAAATCAGAAGTTTACTAATGCAAAAATTTATGTCATAGTACACCAGCAGTTTACTAAGAGATAGCACATGCCATGATAAACTTGAAATTTTCATTTGCCATTTTTTTAAATGAGCTATTTGAGAATTCTGATAAGCATATACTGAAGAACCAGAAGATTCTTCAATAATTCTCTTGTGCTGCTTGTTCTCATAATAAATTAGTTATACCGGCTAAAGTTGGGACTAACCCCTAAATTCTAGAATATATAAAGGTGAATATGGGCTCATTCACCTATCATGTGAACCACTCATAGATGCATATATAAGATGGTTACATGTGTGTTCATTGTCAACCTGCAGTTTGACATTTGAAATTGCTTTTCTCAACTATGAGCAAAACTTTCAGATTATGAAATCAAGACAGTTCATCTTGATAATGTTGGTTTATATCCAAGCTTGTTTAACATTGAATACCTCCTATTAATGGCTAAATCATTGCTTATGAGAACAAAGCTTCATGTGTTTGTCTAAGATTTTCTAAATTGCATATAGCAGCACTTGTATGCATCAGACCAACAATATATGATAAGTCTTCCTCTCACAATTGGTTTAGGATCAGAAACCAAATATTTTTACTATCTCTTGATATGTGGTATATGGTTAATTTCTCTACCACAATATACAAAGATATGTTTCCCAAAAAAGATTGAAAATATATGTTAGTTTTCTATCATTTGGGGGATGGAATAAACAGCTAAAATATGATATATGAATCGAATTATCATTAATATGATCCTCACTTAAAAGATAATTCAAGTAAAATGCCAGAAGCATTTGTTGATCCAAAATCAAATATCATATTTCAGCTGTAAATGTTCCTATTAAAATTTAAAGTCCCTGAAGGATAGAGTTTACTATTCGCATGAAGCGTGGTAGACCAATCGGTTCCAAAGATAACAATCCTTGAAAAGTGATAAGGAGCTAATGATCAAAATGATCATAATGAGGAGGAAATGAGCTCTAGAAGAGCCCACAACATAACATTTCATGAAACGCCAGAAGAAGTTCAGGTACCTGAAAATAAAGAAAGTGATGAGATCTCAACAAGTTATGTCGCTTGTGAACCGATACAAAATGATCATCGACGATATATTTGATATCATATAGTGCACAATACTGTGAAATATTGTGAGGATCGAACCAGTAGTCCAGACACCTGAAGATGTAATGCTATTTAAATGTGAGTCATAACCTATATGGCTCATTTGATTAAATCTCTATAAAGATCCCTGAATGATTTAAAATGCCTCAAGCATATTCAAAATCTCAGGAAATGTACTCAATCAGGTTACAAAGATCTTTGTACGGTTTAAAGCAATCTAGGCGTATGTGGTATTATCGCCTCAGTGAATATTTGCTGAAAGAAAGTTACATATATGGTGTTATTTGTCCATGTATTCAGAATTTGATATACTTGTTGTTTATGTTGATGGCATAAATTTTGTTGGAACTCCAGAAGAGCTCCAAAAGACAATTGAATATCTTAAGAAAGAATTTGAGATGAAAGATCTTGATGAGACAAAACTTTGTCTTGATCTGCAAATTGTATATTTAGCGGACATGATCTTTATCCATCAATTTGCCTATGCAAAAAGGGTCTTAAAACGCTTTTACATGGACAAGACGCACCCATTGAGTACAAAAATGGTTGTTCGATCACTTGAAGTGGATAAGGATTTGTTCCGACCTCCAGAAGAAGATGAGGAACTCTTTGGTCCCGAAGTACCCTATCTCAGTGCAATTGGTGCATTAATGTATCTTGCTAATGCTACAAGGCCTGGCATAACATTTCTATTAATTTACTAGCAAGATATAGTTCTTCTCCTACACGGATTAAGGATCCATTCTTACCTCCATAAGAGAACGATGAACTCCTTAGTCCAGATATACCCAAGTCTCTGCACTGTACTCTTTTCCCCTTGCTTGGATTTTTTCCCACTGAATTTTTCCTGGTATGGTTTTTAATGAGGCAGCTTGCAATGTATATTATTAGTGTACTTTTTTTTCTTGTCTAGGATTTTTTTCCACGGGGTTTTTCTTAGTAAGGTTTTAACGAGGTACATAATAATGAACATCCAAGGAGGAGTGTTTTGAAAATATTTTTGTGGATGCACATTTATTACTCCGCTGTAGATAATCTTCCTGAAGAAGATTATCCATTTTAGCACTTCATTGAAGTTTTCTACAAGCAGTTGATGCAGGCAAGTTGCAAGCAACTCAATGAAATGACTTGTAGCAACTTCTTGGTATGATGAGATTAATTTAAATCGATCTGAAATAGTGGTGAATAATATTCTTGACAAATTCAACTTTTGAGAAGATGGTATACAAGATTGGAATGCGGAGACTCGAATATTTGAAACAAGGTTTTCATCAGGGGGAGTAAAATACGCGATGAACTCCATTTTCCTTGCTAAGGTTTTTTCCCACGGGGTTTTCCTTATAAGGTTTTTAATGAGGCACCTAGCAATGCGTATTACTAAATATGTGTACTCTTTTTGCTTCACTAGAATTTTTTTTCCACGGAGTTTTTTCTAATAAGGTTTTAATGAGACACATTATCTTTTAATGAACATCTAAGGGGGAGTGTTATGCATATATATTATATTATGGATGTTCATTTAGTACTCCGTTGTAAATAAGCTTCCCGAAGAAGCTTATCATTTTGGTACTTCGTTATGAATAAATATTACCCCCGACAGAAGATTATCTATATCTGGTACAGTAGCAGCTTACAAGCAACTTACAAGAAGCTTACACAACAGCTTGCAGTAGCAGCTTACAAGCAACTTACAAGCACCTTACAAGCAGCTTACACATCAGCTTGTAGTAGCAGCTTGCGGTAGCAGCTTACACAACAGCTTGTCGTAGCAGCTTACACAGTAGCTTGTCGTAGCAGCTTACACAACAACTTCATTTCTTCTATAAATAGAGGAGATTTCAATTCATTATGTACATGAATTTGAAGTTGAATAATAAATCCCTCTCTCTCTACTTGTCTTTGATTTCTTTACTTTAAAGTCTTTATTTTATAACAAAGGGGAGTTTTTTTAACAACGACTGTGTTTTGAATATTAAAACTCATTATTTTTTATCGACCGCCATATCACATCCTTAGGTGCTACTACACGGAGAATATAATAAATGAATTATTTATGCCGTCAATATTAATGAAGAGTTTGTTAGGTATATATTTTTGTCTCTCTTTTCACCTATTTCTATCTTTCAATAATTTAATATGTGTTACTAATATATGTATTATTATTTCGTATTCTACTTCATATATAATACATAAATTTTCGCATTATTTAATGAGAGTGTTATTTAATACCGATAACAAACACTATGTTAATGACGCAACAACATTTTTTTTTATTTTATATTAAAATTAACTATGTCAATACAACCAACCAAATGATAATTGTATAGTATCAAGCATTTCAAGACATTTTAAAATAAAACAATAAGTAATCATTTTCATAGAAAATATATGATCGAAAAAAATGTGGAAATATTTAATGGTAGATGAGGTAGAGACATTAATTTCTACCCGTATAATAGGATCCAAAAGTGAAATAGATGGTGGAGGAAAATAAATTGATGAAATCAAGGAATCAATTCAGATGAACCCTAACAAGAAATGAAAAGCGGAGAGAGACGAGAGAGCAGTAAGAGTTAGAGAGAGAAAGCAATTTTAAAAAATAAAATTATGTTATCTTTGTAAGTTGTAATTGACAGTACAAACATATATATTGACTAATTGACAGCTAATCCTAACTCACTCCTTAACCGACGTCACTTAGCACTGTACATTTAAATAGACTAAACTACTCTTCCACAACTAGTCTCTTTTATGTAATACCCTTCTCACCACTCCCCTCTCAGGTGGTCTAAAAATATCAAAAATACCTAGCTTGGAATTCAAGTACTCGTGCTACACTTTGTTCAAGCTCTTTGTGAGTATATCAGCCCGTTGATTTCTTGTTGCCACATACTCTATTCTAACTAATCCTTCTCGAATTTTCTCCCTGATAAAGTGACAGTCTATTTCAGTATGTCTAATTTGTTCATGAAATAATTTGCAGCAATCTGCAATGCTGATTTCCTATCACAGAACACAGTTACAGGAAGTTTGACCTTAATTCCCATGTCTTTGATCAATCCCAATAGCCATGTTAGTTCTGCAACTGTGGATTCTAGACTTCTATATTCAGCTTCTGCGGGGCTTCTAAAAGTTGCACTATGCTTCTTTGACTTCCAAGATATTAGAGAGTCACCAAACTTAATGAGAAAACCTGTAACAAACTTTCTGGTATGAGGGCAGGCTGCCCAATCTGCATCACAGTATGCAGTAACTGTGTCCTTGTTACAACTTGACAATATAATACTTTGTCCTAGCTGACTTTTCACTTATCGCACAACTCTTAAAGCATCCCCCATGTGAGATTTCTTAGGACTTTACAAGAACTGACTCAGTATTTGGACATTGTATGCTATGTCTGGTCTTGTTATTGTAAGATAAATAAGTTTTCTTATAAATGTCTGATAACTTCTTACATCAGGTAATAGTTCATTTTGCTCTTTGTTGTTAGTCCACACTCTAGATATAAGTTATAGAGCATATTTCCTCTGATGTATCAATAGACCCTACTCTGATCTAGCAAATTCTATACCACGAAAGTACTTTAGGTCTCCTAAATCTTTCATCATGAAGGCTTATTGTAGTTTTGTTTTTGTCTCAGTAATAAGGCTCAATTGTGCGCCAGTGATCAGCATGTCATCAACATAGACTAGTACAATTGTGATGCCACCCTCAACCTTCTTGACAAACAAGGAATAGTCATGTCGGCTCAGCAAGAAGCCAAAGCTAAGTAGTGCTTCTGTTAACTTAGCATTCTATTGCCTTGGTACTTGCTTAAGACCATACAAGGATTTTATGAGCCTGCAAACCGGTCTCGACTCCCCGTGGCTCTTAAATCCTTGTGGTAAGTCCATATAAATCTCATCATGCAAATCCCCGTGTAGGAATGTATTGTAGACATCAATTTGATGGATGTGCTACTTCTTGGCAACTGCAACTACTAAGACAGTTCTGACTGTGACCATCTTGACTAAAGGAGAAAAGGTCTCCTGATAGTCAATACCCTCTTGTTGGATGTATCTTTTTGCAACCAGTTGGGCTTTGAATCTTTCAACCTCTCATGTGGTCTTGTATTCGACTTTACAGATCCACTTGCAACTAATTAGATGTTTACTAGCTAGTAGAGACACAATGTCCCAGGTATGATTGTCTTCAAGTGCAGCAATCTCATATTTCATTATTTCTATCCACTTGGGATATCTACTGGCTTCTTCATAGGTAGTGGGTTCCACAATAGAGAAGAAGGTTGCTATGTAGGCTTGATAATTAGGAGTCAACCTCTCATATGACACATAAGTGGATATGGCATAGGAACATTTTTGTGAACATTGAGGGTAACAAAATCCTTTAACCAAATAGGAGGATTATTCTCCCCAGTGGATCTTATGAGAGTGTTAGCATCATTATTCTCCATTGGAGATGGTGCAGTTCAGTTGTGGAGTCTCTCTCACTAGAAGATTTTGCATTTGAGGTATCACTCATGCTAAGAGGGGGACTGTTAGGATTAACAACAGAAGACTCGAATGATGGACGGTTAGGATTAACAATAGACGACTCAATAGGTGGTCTGTGTGTAGGACTAATTTGAGACTCAATAAGTGAGTTTTAATACTCATTTGGGACATAAACAGGTGCAGGAAAGGAGGTTATTATTTGAAAAGGAAACACATGTTCTCTGAAGGCCACATCTCTATTAACAAAGAATACATGGCTAGACAAATCATAGAGAACACATCCTTTTGGAACATGTGAATACCCCATATAGACTGCCACTCTTGTTCTGGGCTGAAGTTTGTCAGTTTCCTGCACAGTCTTGGCATAACATAGATAACCTAACACCCCATATATTCCAACTGAGGTTTCCTACCATACATCATCTCATAAGGAGGTATGCCTCCAGTAACTAGTGAAGACATCATGTTGATGAGATAAATTGATGCAAGCACACAATGGCCCCAAAACTTAAGAGGGATAGAGGCTTGAAATTTGATTACCATTTTTACTTCAAGATTGTGCTTATGCTTTCTCTCATAAACTCCATTCTGTCGAGGACTGTATGAGCAAGTTATTTGATGAATAATACCAGTTTCTTAAACACATCCTCACATAGACTGTTAACAAATTCAGTACCATTATCAGTCCTCACAATTTTAACTATTTTGTTGAACTGAGTACTCACATACATTAAAAACTGTTGCAAGGCCACACAGACATCCATCTTTAGTTTTAACAAGAAAAGCCAAGTCATCCTAGTATAGTCATCAACAATTGTCAAAAAGTATTTATTACCATCAAATATAGCAGTTTTGTAGGGCACCCATACATCCACATGAATCATGTCAAATGAACTACTACTTTTAATGCTACTAGGTGGAAATGGAAGTCTAGGTTGGTTAGCACAAGGACAAACACTACATTTATTGACAATAGCAGATATATGTGATAAGGTACATGAAAGCATTCTCTTTGGAACTACAGAGGAGACATGGCCAAGTCTTATGTGCCAAAGAGCAATGTCCACTTTATTCCATGCATTGTAAGTTTGAGCTGCTAATGTTATTGCCACAATTTTCCAAGAGGTTGATTGAGTAGAAAGTAGAGTTCATCCTTCTCCTTTCCAATGTTCCTCACCCTGCCATTGAAGAGATACCGGAAGATACAAAAGTCAGGAAAGAAGACCATAGAACAACATTAATCTCTAGTCACTTTAGAGACTGATTGTAAGTTATACTTAAAACTCTAGAATATAGAAAACATTCTTGAGTGTGCTCCTGTTAGAGACTGACACCTACATGTGTAACATTTGTGATAGCACCATTAGGTAGAAACACCTTCTTGGACTTAGGTGGTACAACAACAGAAGACTGATCTAGTAGGTTAATGCTAGATACCATATGATTTTTAGCATCAGTGTCAATAATCCATTCTTGTTGACTATTAGAATTAGAGGTCAAGCAGGCACTACATGTATCTGTTTCTTCTGTTTGTTGATCATTAGAGACAAAAGCCAAGCAAGCACTACTTATACCTAATACATTTGTAGATGAAGAGGATGAAGAGCAGGTAGCCTTGTTAAGAATTTGGAAGATTTAATCATATTGCTCCTTGGTGAAGGTACAGGCAAGTGGAGCCAATGGGGTGGTTGAGGCAGCATTAGGAGCTCTAGCTTGATTTTCCAACTGTTGGCCTACCTGTGTCATATGAGGAGCACCAATCACACTCATGTGTTGTCGAGCATATGCCATTTATGGAGCACCAACTATGCCCATGTTCTGCCTAACAAATGTCATATGTGAAGATGTGCTACTAGTAGGGCTTTGGTTTCCACACTCAACTAAGGCACTACAAGCATTATTACTATTAGTTTGTTAGTTAAATGGTCTTATGTAAATAACCCTAATCTCATATGTAGTAAGAGTAGAACATGTATTATATATATAAGACTCATTGTATCATTGTCAGTACATCAATAATATAATTTTCGGAGTTATTAATTCTCACATGGTATCATAGAATCAACGAGAAGCTCTAGAAAGGTCGGACAGTCGTTGTGCATCAATTTCCGACGATTTTTTCCAGATTTGATTGTGTCACCTCCCTATTGGTGAGTGTTGTGCTAAAACCAACACCACCAACATACTCGAAAGGCTCCGGTGACCAAACCCCAAGAAACTACCCCGAAATAAACCCTAACACGCCTCATCACGCGTGCATTAAATAGCTGACGCCGGCGGCGCGTCTGTCACACGTGCCGACGCGTGGACTATGTCCTGGTCAGTTTTTGGCGAAAGTTCTTTTGGACAATGTGTTCGACTATCAACTTCGAGCCTACTCATTATATTTTATTTTTATTTCGATCACTTTCAATTTTTTTCGGCAACTACAATTATTTTTTCTGGCATAAGCTGTGATTTCCTGGCAAAAACAGTGTTTTCTTCCCTTTTTTAACAAGATACAGTTGATTATTTTATTACTTGTTTCTAGACTTCTCTTCTATCCAACAATGTCTTTGGGAACTGATGTATTTGGTTCTAAAAGCTCGTGTTCTGCAAATTCAAGTTTCATGATTACTTCAGAGTCCATAATGGGAAGTTCAACTACTTAGCTTGGGCTTCATCTGTTGAGTTGTGGGGCAAGGGTCAAGGCGTTCAAGACCACTTAACCAAAAAGGCTAGTGAGGGAGATAAATAGGCCAAAGCACAGTGAAAAAAGATCGACGCTCAGTTATAGTATCTTGTGACGATCTATTGATTCCAAAGTGATGCCTTTATTTCGCCCATTCCAGTCATGTTATTTAGTTTGGGAAAAGGCTCGTACTTTATACACTAATGATATATCTCGTTTCTATGATTTGATTTCGCGAATGACAAGCTTGAAGAAATATGAATCAGATATGTCTACTTACTTGGGACAAGTACAGGCAGTCATGGAAGAATTTGAGAAGCTGATGCTAGTTTCTACTGGTATTGAAAAGCAACAAGAGTAACGATAGAATATGTTTCTAGTTCTTACACTTGCTGGACTTCCTAATGACCTTCATTTAGTATGTGACCAAATTTTGGCTAGTCCGACTGTCCCAACATTTGATGAATTATTCTCTCTATTACTTCGTCTTGTTGTAGAACTAAGTCACCCAGTTATCTCATCATGGACACTTGACTCCTCTGTTCCCGTATCGCAAACAGTGTAAATCGGGCATCTCAAACTATGGAGAATAGACGAGGAGGAGGTCATTTTTGAAAATCTAGACCTAAGTGTTCTTATTGTAATAAACTTGGACACACTCGTGAAGTGTGTTATTTTTTACATGGTCGACCACTCAAAAATGCTTATATTGCTCAGACCGAGACAATATGTAACCATGAATTTTCTTTATCTAAAGAGGAATATAATGAGTTCCTTTAGTACCAAGCAAGTAAGTGTAGACATGTAATTTTTGACCCTCCCCAAGATTTTACACATTTTAGCGTAAATATTTAATTTAGGTTTAATATTGCTATTCTAAATAGTTTTGACTCTTTTACTTTATTTTTATCACAAAAATAAAAATTACAATTTTTTTATATATTTTCTTCTTTAGGTTAAAGTCAATTAGTACATTTATATTTATAGTATTATAACATTTGAAAATACAAAAATTCGTTTCACTTTTAGTATTTAGTTTTATATTAGTTTATTTTAATTTAGAGTGATTTTTACATTTTATAGATACATTGTACTATTTGGTCTTCCTAGCCTAGATTCAAACCTAAAAGACATGGTCCAACCTGTGAGCACGTGATTTTTGCTTCACAAAGAACTACTCTAAAAGAAATCAAGATAAAATAATTTTTCCTTTATACGAAATTTTGAGAGTTTTTTTTGTGGCATGTTGTTAATTATCTGTATTTGTCTGTGCATGTTTGTTTTCATTTTATTAAAGGAAAAATACAAAATATATGTTGCATGCACATTTAGGATTTAATTTTGCAATTAGGAATTAATTGAACCATATTTGGTTTTTAAAAGAACGAAAATCACAAAAATATGTATTTTAGTCCAATTGTGTGATTTTGTTTGTAATTGATGTTTAATTGTGTTAATAGTTGTAATAGAAGTTAATTTGTGTTTTTAACAAGTTAATTTAAGTTTTATAATTTAATTTAAGATTTTTTANCCCAAACCACAGACCAAACGACCCCTCGAAACCCTAGAGCCGCCACCCCACACCTTTGCCTGAACCCGGCGGCAACGACGCCGCCAGCCACCCAAATAACACCGCTGAACCTCCATACCTTCCTCTTTCCGAATCCATACCCCTTTAACCTCGAATCATGACAGAGCTCTTCGAATCTTAGATCGAAAAATCCAACCAAAAAACCTAATTTACCCAATCGCCCCCAAACTTACACCCGTTGACCACTAGACCTCCCCAGTCCCAAATCACACCCCAGTTTCGTTCGAATCTCATCGGAACTATTCAAATCCCAAATCGAACAAACAAACCCTAACACCAAACCTAGAGGCAGTCCGAGGAAAAATTGGGGGTTCTAATCGACTATAGTTGAGTGTTCTCAATTGAGAACACTTGATTAAAGTCCGTTTTTACCCCAAAAGGCTCAAGTCGGAGTTACGAGCAGAGCGAGTGAGAGATAGGTATGAGTTCGGAGGTATTTCTTCTGTTTCTCTGTCCGCTTTTCATGTTTTGTTATTTGTTTGTTTAAGATGAGTTCAAATTCGTCTTTTATCAATTACTCTTTTCTTTCTCCATCAGACCTTTTATTTGGTCCAATTTCATCATTGCTTCTGTTTGTTGTCGATTGTTATATGTTATAATTTGTGTAATCGATTGAATAAGTGTCGTCGATTAGTCTGTTATGCTTGAATGTTAGATTAGCAAGATAATAGTTTAATTTTTGGTTCATTCCAGTAGGGTTACCCTCCTATTTCTTTTCTGTTCTAGTTTTGTGTTGAAATAAGCCTGTTGGTATCATTTGTTTCAAGTTGTTCCAATTTCCCTTTCTCATTGTTATTCACCATGTTTTTTCATATGAGTTCAGTTTGTTT